CACGCTCAATCCTTTTTTTGGGTCGCACCATTTTTTCACACCTAAGGTGTTTTTGATTAGATATTATGACTTTTTGTCAATACACACCATTTTTTCACACCTAAGGTGTTTTTGATTAGATATTATGACTTTTTGTCAATACACACCATTTTTTCACACCTAAGGTGTTTGTGATTAGATATTATGACTTTTTGTCAATACACACCAACAAACCACAGCAAGTAAGATAAAGTAACACTCGATAGTAACCGACGTTAGTTTTAGGATCGCAACCTTAACATTCGGAACAGTCCTATACTTTACAGAACCAATCAGATTCTTTATAAAATATATGGTCGTAGTTTTTATTCTCTAAAACAGTTAATAAGATCATTTTTATTGTAACGCCATGAAAATTAGATTAACACTTTCTTGTCGTCACCAGCATGTACTCGGTACAGCCGTATCAAGTATCATTATTTACACTAATTGCTTAAGTTAATATCATGTGACGCTAAACGCACTTTGATTAGGAGAATTTCATAAAATTTAACAAATTTCTACTTAAAAGTTTGTAATGAATAATGAATAACAACCGTCTACCCGCATGATGCTTTTGATCACTTGAGTTAGAAACTGCTAATCTAATTTGCTTGGCCTAACCAATACTTATCTATTTGTACGTGCTTTCACCTTATCGTTTGCTGCTGTAAATCAGTAGTCTATGGTCCGAATGACAATAAACTAAAAACAGTCCATCTTAGGTGAAGCTGTAGTAAAAATTTCATATCAGTAGCTCACGTGACTTTTTGCATAGGTGTAAGCAAACATTTTGGTCAAAATTGAGCAGCTTTTGTTGAATAACTTTGCACGTGTGGCTTATATTTAGACTAAATTTGACACCTAATTATAGATTGTTTTGACCAACTTTGATATGTAATTGAACGTTATGAAGATCTATCATTTTACCAAATCGGAAAAAAAAATATGAAAAGTTTCTATCAAATAAATTTCTGTACTTTCGGTGCGAAGAAAACATAGGAAAAAATTCAATCAAAATTGAAAATTTTATATCCCGTGTATGTTTTAATGGATTGCCATGAAATTTGGTAAGTGAAGTAAGGGTCCAGTAGAGCACATCCGCTGAAAATATGTGATAGTTTAGATTATCAAAGTCCGAGCTACAGAAGGTGGAAAATTACCAAACTATCACTCCTCTTAAAAACACACAGTGTGTTGTGCAGGTTGTTTTGGCCACACGACACACTACCGTGTGGTTGGATATTTCTGGTCTAATTTGTTGAAATTCTCTGAACATCATAACTAACATTATGAAAATATAATTTTACGATGAAGTAATCAACCTCACTCTAAACAATATACAGGAAACAAGTTCAGTCCTTCAGCTTAAAAGCAGGGAGCTTTTCACAAACTAACTGATATATATATATAAGTGCGAATGTGTGTATGTGTTTGTGTGTGTCTCTCTCCATCTCTCTCTGATCCTTATGCCACATCTTTAAAGCTACAAATTCCAAACTCGGGGTACAACTTTGTGCGGGAAGTAGCATGGGCTATGTGGCCACTGCCTGAGAGGCTTTTTTGAGATGGCAAATTGAAGCCAAAGTGCCCAATATAGCAATTTTTAGTGAAAGCAGGAAGATCAATTGTCCTCAAATTAAAAAGGCCGGATTTGGTAATGTATGATCAAGAGGACTATTATTTACGTTTCTTATTTCAGTGAGGACGTCTCCTAATCATTCTATCCATGACCAATTATGTGTTAAAACGATCTAAAAACTTCATTTGTTTACCTGCTCATAATCTCTTCTTCTTTGCTCCTGACAGCAAGACAAAAAATATTGTGTACAAAAAAGCTTTACAGTAGATAAATAAATTAGCAGGTAAATAAAGAACTAAATATATTAAAATCATTTTCATCCGAGCAACACCAGGTACTCTGCTAGTAAATATATAAAAAAACTTTATGACAGTGTTGTGGGTGTCATCTTATATAAAATTCCCAATTGTTCTGTTTGTAGTGTTTCGTTTTTCCTTTTTTATCTGAAGGAAGATATTTGAATGATTTCTTTGTTATATCGTACACTTAAGTAGAAAAGTTTCTATTTATGCCAATCAGCAACCGACTAATACAAGGTAGACCAAAGTCTCGGCCTAATTATAATGTTAACTTGGACGTATATAAGGTTAATTCTGACTTCTGCTCTAAGTGTTTGAATATACGTGCTGAATAATTAAGACCAAACATTGTTATTATTGTAATTTTCGGTTGTTTCATAGATACTAAGTTATAAAAATATGCCCCCCCAGTGACACAGCGGTATGTCTGCGCACTTACAATGCTAGAATCCGGGTTTCGATACCCGTGATGGGCAGAGCACAGATAGCCCATTGTGCAGCTTTGTGCTTAATTACAAACAAACAAATATAAAAGTATATATGGTTATTAGGTTTGAATAACATAATGAGTTTTATCCACTTCCAGTAATCAAGAGACGACGTTTCGAACTTGTAGTGGACGAAAACTTGCATTAGCAGTTTGAAATGTCATCTTAATTTTACTTCAGGCAGATGAATGTTATTACACTATCTAAAACATTCGTCTTAGTTACTGTTTAACCAAGCATTACCTTTTATTTGTGTATTATTTCCCTTTCCGAAATTATACAGAACACGTAGAATAGAGAAACCAAATATTGGGGATCATAGCTAAGATAATATATCTGATTGAACCTTGTCGTCATATGTTTTCCGTCTTACTATGATGTTTTACTTATGATGAAGGTAATCTGTTATACAAGCGAACTGGTTTAATTTATAAAGCGATAATGAAATTAGTTGTAACATAGTACACCGTTGATGTGGTTTTACTTTATACTTGCTTGTATGCTCATCGGAGGCAACTGAATAACAAAATGCGTTTTGAAACTTAAACCTATTTCATAATGTTTATAACACGCAATAGCATGAAAACATTTAAGTTAACGATTTTCTTAAAAGTGTCAATTCACTTTTATACGTATTAAAATAATTATATAAATATCTCTATTTCAGGCAGTTCTCCGAAGGATTTTGTCCCAGTTTATAACAGTCAGCATTATATCATTTACGGAAATGGATCCCTAACTATTAGAAATGCTGTCAGAGAGACTGGAGGTTATTACTTATGTCAGGCCAGCAATAACGTTGGGGGAGACCTTAGCAAACTGATAACTGTGATAGTTCACGGTGTGTATGCCTTCTTACGTTGAAATATCGAATGGACTATGATCTTAGTTTTGTCAGTTAAAGCATTATGATAATATAGAAATAAGAATTATTTTATTATGCATAAATCTCGATAATAATAGGTCATATTAGCAAGAATAAATTAGGCTTAATATAATTTAAGCTTATTTTGGACTCACTAATGACGATATTACCTCACTTAAATAGATGAGTGCAAAATGTGATGTAAAAATGTATTATTTCTTGAAATTAGTAACTGAGGGACCAAGAATTTATGAAACAACGTATAATACCTAGTATTTTCGGTATCATAATAATAAAGAACGATTATGAACATAAATCAGGTTTAGTATGACCAATAGTAATGGTAAAAATGAAAATCAATTCAACGTAAAATATGGCATTTGGATTTTTTCAATAGATCTTGTAATTACTTTGAAATGAAAACAACATTACATGTTTCTGTAAATCAGTTGATAATATTTCTAAGATCGAACATTTCCTGAATACACTTTTCCAATTTGATTATTCTGTCTGAAACAAATATGATATTTGCAGACATATTGAAAATAAATAGGTTTGATATATTTAAGAAGTTAATGGTTCGGGATCAGAAACCCACAAATGTTGTAAGACTAGAACACTATAAGTTTAAATTGTAACATAAAATTGTTTTTATTACAGAGGATTTGGTACGTTACATTAAAAGTCATGCGATATTTCGACGCCATTTAACAGTCGTAGGTTGTGTGTGACATCGAAAATTGATCGCTTTTGAAAGTGTATATGACACAAAATACTTATACAATCAGATAACAAAGATGTATTCAGATTAGGGATTTAGAATGCCCGAAACGAGTATATCTCTTGTGCATAATGGCATTGGAAAACAAAGGTACGTGGATCAACTTGGGGTACCAGGATCATACAGGAAGAGACCTGCAACAAATTGTACCCCAGCGTGATCAGCAAAGTGCAATGTCTTGTAATAGGTGAGAATACACGAACACAAATATCAGTTGCAAAAGTCGTTCTCATGTCCCAGGCAACCGTATGCAACATAATCAAGAAGGATTTCCATTTTGAAACGAAGACAACATGGTATGGGTTCTCCAAAATAACGCTTCTTGTCATACTTCCTGTTTAACCATTGCATATCTTAAGCATCTTGAGAATGAAATGAATATTAGATATATTCCAAACGTGGATATACCAGTTATGTCGCCAGGCATAGCACATTCAGGCTGTTGAAACGGACACTAGGACTCTAGCGTTCTCATACGCTGGATGGATTATGAAATGCTTGCAGGGAGACTGCCTTATGATGGAACCTTTGTAATAGAAACAGTGCTGCTACGCTATTATCAAAATGCAGTAAACAAACTAGTTAAGCTGTCTGGTAAACTTGTATATTTAAAATTTCTAAATGATTTCATCTACAGACAATTTTGAGGACGGTAAATGTACTTGATTTTAGGCTTAAATTAAATTTCGAGCTAGCTGAACCTCATGCCGCGTTATGAAGATTGTGTTAAAACATCGTTAAAAGAAAGCGCAGCCAGCTGTTGATTTAGACAATTTACTCACTATAACTTACACAGTAGTCTACATTGAAAATTTTATTACTATTATTATTACTTTCCTTACAAGTTCTATAAAATGTGCATTAATATTTATCTTGTAACTGAAATTATATATCTTGGTATCTCCTACATCAGAGTCGTCTACACTTAAGATTAGTTTCTTTTTAATAGTTACTATTGCACTTTTGAGAGTGGTTGTGTTCAGAAGCTACTCATAATTGAATATTTTGGCCTTCGTAATTTATGAATTGGTTGTACAACCATCTTCAAGACTAAGAAGGCTACTTTAGAGATTTTATAGCTCGTTTATATTATAATACGATATGTCCAAAAGTTCATTACTGTCGCGAGTGTTGCTCAGTTATACAAGTTTAATACAAAACCATGGAAAATATTTTAGGGGATCCCATTACTCAGAGCTAGTCCTGGTAATAAAGTACTCTAGTAGTATGTATAACTTTTAACTGGTCAGTTCAGATCTGTGTGATAACAATGAATTATTTACTTTGTAGAAAAATCATTGTTTGTAAGGGAATATGAACCAGTGCATAACAAAAAAAAAAATAGTATTCTGTAAATACTAAAGGTGTAGCCAAACATTTAATTGACTTACCTTTAAACATTTAAATATTCAATAAACTGTCAGGAATTATCTGTGGTATGACAGGCAGAATGAATGGCTATAAAGACTGAACGAAAATAAATCTACCATTTCCTCTATCAACCTTTAAGTTATCCAAGATTCTGTTGGGATATATTTTAAACAATACATTGAGGCAATTAAATATAAGTATTTACATGACATTCTCCCTAAACTTATTGCTGAACCTAAAAACAGAAATTCAAATAAACAAACGTACATTTAGATATATCTTCTTAAATATTTATTTCATAACGTAACAATGTAAGTTAGTTATAACGTTTTAGTTGACCGCAATTTTTAAACAACAAAATGAACAAGATAAGTTAGCTATAACGTTCTACTTGACAGCAATTTTTAAACAACAAAATGAACAAGGTAAGTTAGTTATTGCGTTCTACTTGACAGCAATTTTTAAACAACAAAATGGACAGTGTAAGTTAGCTATAACGTGCTACTTGTCAGTAATTTTTAAACAAGAAAATAAACATCTGGAATTTAAGTGATTGTTTAACGCAAATTTTAGGCTATTAATTACCTGGTAAATACATCATTATTTTTGCTGATAAGGCTGCATTCCCGTTTTGTTTCTATTTGTAGGAAATGCTATATCACAACTATAGGAGAAAGGTTAGAGATTGATATAGAAATTACTAGCATTTCGCCCCCCAATGACACAGCAGTGTGTCTGCGGACTTACAATGCTAGAAACCGGGTTTCGATAGTCCTTTGTGTATCTTTGTGCTTAACTACAAACAAACAAACAAATACTAGCACATTTCAGATAATGATGTGGCCGATCGCGGTTCAGTGATATTGGCTAGAGAGTCGGACTGTGGAGCTATGGTTCTGAGGTTCGAGTCAAGTCACGGCCAAATAAAGAAAACATTCTCTGCATTTCGGGTGTGTTATAAGAGTAAGGAGTCAAATTCCGCTAGTCGATGTAATAAGAGTAGCCCAAGATGTGGCGATAGGTGGTGTTGACTAGCTGCTTTGTCTCTAATCTATCACTTTAAACTTGTGCAAGTAGTCTACAAAATGTGCTCAAAATCTAACAAAATAAACAAGATAACGATATTTACATTTACTGGTAATAAGGAAAAATAAAAATAACCCTTTAGCACATCAGTAGATTTCTGTGTTTATTTGAAAAAAATAATATTTTTGTAAGCTGTCTTGTGGTTCTTTCAGGTTAGACTGATTTCACTCACAAAGACAAGACAGGTCCTCTTAATAACAGGAGGTTCGACAAAATATTTACTGCAAAGTAATTTTATGCTCGCTGACCACTGAAGTCATGATAAATAAAGACTGGACGCAAATGCATAATCACAATAAACTATTTTAAATTAAAACAAATACAATTGAAATATATACTTAACTTGCTACAAAGAACAATTACCTTTACTAGAGAGTTAGTTCTTACTCATTGATCCAGGTTATAAGATAGTTCTCCTAGATCATGTTCCAGAGTGCCTAAATCTCATTTTAGCTACTTAAATCGTTAACATCAGATTTACTCAGAGTAAGTAGTCGAGTGACTAGTCATTCCTCAATGAAATACAAGATAAACCATTATTTCTAATATCTCCTAATTACCAGTGGGAAAGATACCTGTTCTACAGCTAGTTTTCCCACGATAAGTTTATATTCTACAGGGTGAATGATACAGAGCAATAGCTAGCAAGAACAAAAGGAATTTAACGACTTCCTTGACAAAAATTGTATGTGGAACCTGCTTATACCAGAATAAATGACTTTTTTTAAATTCTATGTTAATACAAGTAGGCAGAAAACGCACAGTTTGTTTAAATACTACAAATACGAAAATTACATAAATAGACTTATAAATATTCGTTTATGGCCAATACCAAATAATGCATTATTAAGGATTTATGCGCTTTAACTGTTAAATGCACGAAGAAAAATTTATTGAAATAGTGTACCACTAGTAAGAAAATAACTGAATTTTAGAATTACGTCATCATCGTAACTCTAAGGAATGCGTTTGTGGAGTAAACAGCAAAGTGCTTGTAAGACCTATTGATAATAAACAACTTACTCTTTTTGTGATGTGTATCATCAATTAATGTTCATTATCACGAACATAATATATTAATTCACCAGAGCCCTAAAATGATTTGGTTATTAGTGTAGACTTTTTTAAATCTTATTGATTGGTAAATGACTAAAAATTACAAATGTGAAATGTTTGATTTTGCTTTAGCTCTAAAATATTTGTTTTTCATTCTAATCTGTGCGATACCACAAAATATTCCCCACAGTTTAATCTGTGGTCTATTATAAGATTGACAATCAATCCCTTAGCGTGTCAGCCAGTGGTTTTGGGTATCCACACAAAACTGATGACAGGCACCCTGATTGTTGGCATATACGTGCCAATTCCTATTCATCATGTCATTCCATCAGGAACAAGACCTGTTTGGCAGAGGTTCATCTTCCAGCAAGACAGTAATCAAAAGCATGCAAAAATACAGTAAAACGATACATGAGTGTGAAAGAGGCTGATGGGTGATGGAACGTTACCAACCAAAGCCTGGTCTACACAAAGACCCAATATGAATACTATTAAGACTTTATGGGTTTATATAAAAACTGAACACTTCAATAACTACACAACATTTGAAACAATATGCCAGAATAATAATTTGACTGATTTATGACAGCATAAAAACAAGTTGTTTAAATCAGATATAAAATACTAATGCATTTCACAAAATATTCGCTTTTATTTTGGTGTTAAGGCATTTTACTGATTGTAAAATTGACCACTAGTTGCAGTTACTCATTGTTTATACTCCTGTATCTACGTATCACCTGAGCGTCCATAATTATTTTTACTGATGTATATTATATAAACGAGAAAATATGCAATGTAGCAAGTGTGTTAAGCACATCAAATAGAGCATGAAGAATACTCTGCTAGCTGTCAATATGTCATAGCAATGGTTTTCAAATGTCTATATTTTGAGTAAAGCAGATATACTGAGTCATACAACACACAAGATGTTATATTGTATGTGCATCACTCCAAATTAATATACTCTCCAAGTAGGAGGCCAGGATAAAGAATGTTGAACCCAGCCATCTGAGCATTATTATCACGGTTACCAGGGAAATGGCGATGATCGCTAACGACCATGACAACCTCTACCACTATTACATAATCAATGTCAATTACATGTGTTTTTCAACTACTGACACACACACACACACAAAGCACTATCAGTACGGTATGTATTAATGCTTCAAGAAGTATACGAAGGTAAGCTTGCTGCTGGATACTTAGCACAGATAGTAGATCTGCCATATAGAGTTTCAGGCAGCGATCCTGGTGAAGAAAAGTGATTTCCTGGTTTGCAAGAAGTAAATTATTATGCTGGTGACGTACAAGTTGAGTGTACTAATCCACAGAATTATTTTTACTTTGTCCATCGTATACGTGACTTCCCAGTTTCGTCCCCTCCCCGTCTGTCCTTAGGTTAATTAGTTAAATATACTAGAAGGTTTTATTGGTATGTAAATATTTTTTAGATTTATTTTATATATAAAATAAGGCTTGAGCAGGTGAATCAGATATTTTGCAATCTATTTATAGCATTTTATTAAGTTAGATGAGTTATTGACATTTTGTGCTGAATTATTTTGTTTGTTTCAGAATGTTCTATAGAACCTAAGCTACTATACAAGGGCTATCTACGTATAGTTGTCCCATATTTTAAACTTATAGACTAAAGGGACGGCAGATTATGACAACTCGCGAGCTGCTCTTGTCTGAATGAACAGTAGGATTTGATTGTCATTGTTACAAATAGTGTTTGTTTGTTTGGGATATTTGCGCATAACTACACAAGGGTCATCTGCTCTAGCCGTCTCTAGTTTTTAGCTGATAGACTAGAGGGAAGACAGATAGTCAAGAGCGCCCATCGCCGACTCTTTGATTACTCTAGTCGAATAGTGGAATTTGATCGTCACCCTTACAGCGTCCTCAACTCCTCAAAGTTCAGAACACGTTTTTGCAGTAACTGTCGCGAACAGTAACGTGACGCGAACAATGAGCTCTTGGGTTCACAGTCCGAGCATGCTAACCACTAGCTTATGCCTGTTTTTTAGAATTATTTAAAACAAGAATAAAACCATGGAAAACTGTTTATGAACATGTTTATGTATAATACCTTATAGCCTGTTTAAAACAAATGACAAAGTAAATGATTTTTTTTTTGTAAAATTTCAAAACGTCTAGATTTTACTTCTAACTTATAATTTCAAATATTTAAGAGTGCATTCGAGAAAATAACACGCTATCATATTACTTCAGTAACGCCTGAATTCGTTGTTGTAAAACTTCCCGTCAACCAGTTAGAACTATAGGCATAGCAGTTTGTACACACCCTTTTTTTTTTCTTTAGCAGTATGTCTGCAGACTTACAACCGGGTTTTGATACCCGCGGTGGGAAGAACACAGAGAGCCCATTGTGTAGCTTTGTGCATAATTACAAACAAACCTTTTTTCTTTACAAACTGAAGAAAAACGTTGTTGAAGCAATACAATTTATCGAGAAAAAAGTGTGTAGGAAATCTAAGCTTAATTTAACCTATTATGAAAATTTTTACAAACATGAGGGTGGTCTTATAGCTTAGTGCAAAGTTGCAATAGGTTGTCAAATGCAGAGAATCGAATCCCGGATTTTAGCGTTGTAAATAAAATATCGTGTTTGCCCGAATATAATACGTACCCAATTTTGAAAGGTTAATTTTAAGAAAATTTGTTTTTACACATCAAGTGTAGAAAATGCATTGAATATTTTCTAAATACAGTAAACAACTATATTTATATTAAACATTTTCGGAAATCATTCATTGAATTTTTTTTTCGTGTGAATTTTACAAAATTTATTGAAAAGTTTATACGTGCTAATAATCTTAAGCTAATCAGTCATTTTCACACAAATCTTCGTCATCGCTATAATTCTTACTACCATCGGATTTGCTTTCTTAAACCTTTGCTTCATCCTCTTCTGATTCCCACAGCATGTCATCATCCGTCCCACCCATTGCATTGGATATGCAACATTTTTTGAAACCTTTAATGATGCTTTAATGATTTTTTTGTGGTAGCTTCTAGTAAAATACCTAACAAAATTGAACATGCGCGAATATAATGCGCAGTCAATTTTTCGGGAGGTATTTGGATTGCGCATTATATTTGGGCAAATACAGTACCTGAACTTGCCGGGAGACCAAAGTATGGTAAGCTCATACTTTGTATTTTCTGCGGAATTTGCCTACAATTCATAGTGACACCTGGCGTTTCGGTTTGACAAATTTTAAGGTACAGTTAATTAAGCAATCTGGGAGCGGCGGAATATAAACGACTGGATTATTAGGGTTTCTAAAAAATTATCCAATGACTTTTTTTTTGCACAAGAAAAGTCTTTTAATCCTGGTCAGTTTCAAAGTAAAAACTTTGTTATGTGTGTGTGTGTGTGTGTTTATTAATAGACATAAAATGTCTGAGAGATAATTAAAATTTTTAGACAGAAATATTTAAAACGTAGGTTTACGTAAATGTGACTATCTGTATGATAGATCACTAATTATCTGGGGTTATTGGTACAACAAAGTCTCCAAATAATATATACATTCATGATTGAAAAGAAAAGGCTCAAAGGGTTATTTGAAAAACATATCTCAGACGTTTCTATGGGATTTAAGATCAATTAAGGACAAACATTGCTAGAAATTCTCTATGTAAAACCTTGTAAGTATACGTAAGCAATATGTAAATATATTTGTTTCAACTCACATTTCAGCACCCCCGCGAGTTCATGTTCAACAACCATTGTACACAGTCCCTCTTGGAAACAAGGTGGAACTCACATGCGTTGCTAAAGGTGACCTTCCGATGGATATTCAGTGGACCAAAGGTAGCGAACAAGACGTGCTGCAGCCAAATGGAAAGTAAGTGCAAACAAGAATCTTCGATATGGAAAGGTAAACTACGTATTAAAGCTATAATCAAATCAAAACACATTTTCAACCATAAACTGTACAGCTAAACCAAGTATTTTTACGTGAGTACTGTGCAGGTTTTCAGGTTTTGTGTTGTTGTTTAACTTAAAAGCGACTTTAAACGAGGTATTGTTGTTCTATTGCAAATGTTTTCCTATTACGAGATACATATATTAGGAGAGACATGACTTAGATAACAGAACCTCGTGCGGACCCGGCATGACCAGGTGGTTAAGACGCTTGACTAGCAATCTGAGGATCTCGGGTTCGAATCCCCGTCCCACCAAACACGTTCGCCCTTTCAGCCGTGGGGACGTTATAACGTGAAGGTCAATCCCACTATTTTTAAACACAATCTTGATTTGCTTAAAGGTAGTTATAAATTTAATTTTTATTTCATGGACATAGCCTCATAGCCCTACAGGTAAAAAAAAAAAAAAAAGATAGTGAAGAAAGTTTAAAATTAAGTAGCTTACTAACATGAAATTGTATATTTGTTAAAATATGATTATTGCTAATCAGAGTACTAAATACAAAGCGGTTAAAACTGAAGAAACATCCACAAATCAGACACACTATGAAACCCTCCTGGTAGAACTTTAGTGATTCCCTTTGACCTTATTATAGGACATCAAGAGATTTTAACGATCCCGTTGATTCTGATCCTGTTGTGGGGCATGTAAAGCTTATACAGAATTTGACGATCCCTGTTCATAATGATCTTGTTGTAGGACACCTAAAGCTTACTTAGGTTTTAATGATCCCCTTTGATCATGGTCCTGTTGTAGGACACAATAAGTTTACTTAAATTCTTAACTCCTGTGAAAATGGAAACTAATATATCCTCTCGTAACTATAGAGTATTTAACAATTTTTAGATTTCATTGTAATTGCATCTGGAGCACTCAATAATGTATACTGAGATAAGGACCTCTGCATTAGCTGCAGTGTGCATACTATAAACTACCATTTAGAATATGAATAAATATAAAAATATTTGTGACAGGAATATTCTTGAACAGATTATTGCACATTCAAGTGTATGCGTTTCTAGACTTAGCCATTGCACCCTACTATTAGAGATTACCATCTTTTATGAAATAAGTGATTTCAGTGTTATGAAAGTTTAGGCCCTAAAATATAGTTATTTTCCAAAGGTTTCAAATTATTACCAATATTAAACATACACATACATATATTAAAACATTTGTCTTGAGTGCAAGCATTTATCCTCAGCATGCAAGAAGCCATGAAACTATTATGCACCATTGCCATCTATTGGTATTTCTATTAACTACGTCATATAAAGGAATGTTCTCAAGATTGAATTGAAGTTTAGATGCACAGTCGCTCGTATTGGTTTGTTTGTTTTTGAATTTCGCGCAAAGCTACACGAGGGCTATCTGCGCTAGCCGTCCCTAATTTAGCAGTGTAAGACTAGAGGGAAGGCAGCTAGTCATCACCACTCACCGCCAACTCTAACGAATAGTGGGATTGACCGTCACATTATAACGCCCCCACGGCTGAAAGGGCGAGCATGTTTGGTGTGACGGGGATTCGAATCCGAGACCCTCAGATCGCGAGTCGAGTGCCGTAACCACCTGGCCATGCCGGGCCCGCTCGTATTGGTAGATAAATTCAGAATAAATTAGATTTGAGCGTTTCATATCACACACACACACACATATATATATAGAAAGAAGAATACATAGTCTTAGTAGATTTATTTAACTAGGGAAAGGTAATAAATAAAGTAAAGTTTAGGTACGTAATTATTAATTAAACTAA